ATAAACGAACTTCCCCCGTCAGAACGATCCAATCATATACTGATGTGCGCTTTATGGATAGAAGGTAAAGAACCAACGATGATGAATACGTTTTTAAAACAATTTGTCGAAGAAGCAATACAATTGTCTGAAAAAAGTATTGTGATCAATCACAAAAAAAAAACAGATTATATTTAAATTTGCGCCACTGTGTTGTGCAGTTGACTCTGTAGCTCGGCCTATTATTCAAAATAGATTACAATATAATGGTTACTACGGTTGTTCATGGTGTTACGCCTGTGAGAAATATTTGCATGGAACTGTGCGTTTTTCATTTTGTAAACTTGATAGTGATGATCTTCTTCGAAATCACGAAGCCCATTTAGCTGACATTAGAGAAGCTGAAGACCGAAATTACTAGGTTAGAGGTGTAAAGGGTTACTTCATTATATTGGAATTACCGCACTTCAATGCCGTCTGAGGATTTTTGTATGAGTTCATGCACCGCACTTTGCTAGGAGTACAAAAACAAATCGAAGAAAGTTGTTTTACTCAAGATTCTCTAATATGTTTAAGCAAGGCTCAACGAAATAAGGTGAATAATCGATTAATCGGCATTACTCCAATCAAAACAATTCAACGTCTACCAAGACCTCTGACTGACAAGTGTAAAGCTTCGGAATGGCTTTCGTGGTCATTGTTTTACTGCTTGCCTTGTTTCGATAGCATTATACTACCCGATATCCAGGATCATCTAGCCCTGTTGATAGAGAGCTTATTTTTACTACTGCAGAATAAAGTCACTGCTGAAGAATTAAAAAAAAAAATGCGAGATAGATCTTCTTTGCTTCGTCGCAGAATTTGAGATATTATATGGTGAAGAATATGTGACGTTCAATATTTACAGTCTACTGTATATAGCAGAATCGGTAAGACTATGTGGATCTTTATGGGCTTCTGCTTTTACTTTTGAAAGTACAAACTGTAAGGAAGAATCATTACAAACGGCTAAAATCGAATCTCTATATGTATTATTCTCTTATATTCTTCTATGTATTATTCTTTTATGTTTTCGAATTTAACGACTGATAATTTCACGATAAACTTGTATACCTGCGCGATTGTCAAGGTGACAAACATATACGATTCTCCTCTTTGCGATGCTTGTTGTTTGCCGGTTGACGACTCAACCGACAATTTTGAAGAAAGAAAAATACGATAACATCGCCGAGGACCGAGGTGACGAGAAAAAGGGCTTGCGGAGCCAGAGCAGAAAGAGTCCGTAGCCGTCGATAAGAACGNATCAAGAGACGCGAGAGATCGAAGCGCGATAGATCGTTAGAGTCGTTCAATTAAGTGCATTTATGTATTATCTTTATAATAAAGTTAAACAATACACTTTTATATAAAATAAAGTGCTTAATTTAATCATAATATCCTACAAAACTTTCATCTGAAACACCAAATAGGTGATCCAAAGAGCGTTGACAGTCAGATTTGCAAAAAGTATCTGTAAAAGAAATTGTGAAGATGGCAAACAGATCATAGAAGAAATACTTCGGACGTTTGTTGAGATTATTGCAAGCATTTATTTACTGAACGTAAACATTGTACTACAGATAAAATTGCCGGAGAAACAGTTCTGTTGAGTCTTGGTCGACAATTGTGTAATATGTATATGAACGATGCATTTACAAACATGATTTTTATCACAGTATCAGTCACAAGCAAAAAAACAAATGATTCTGCTGTGCAAATAATTACTAATGAATGCGCTCAAATAACGGCAATAGTTGCCATCGACAATGAATGCTTTATTGATATTCGAAAAATGATTACAGAACATGTATTTAATGTACCTCATTATTTTAAAGTACTTAGTTATAGTGAGAATACGACTAGAATCCCCATATATAATATTAAAGAAAAACTTGTATTAATTAAACACACAAACGGTATGCCGTATTCCTAATATCTGTAACATGTAGACATTGACAGATCATCTATATTTTAAGAGACTTGTACTTGTAAATAACGTGTTAATAATAAATAATAATAATAGAATGTTTTGTTTTTATTTGCATTACTTTTTTCTTATATAAAGTACAAGAATATATTTCCAAATTTTAACGTTTAGTTTCAGATGTTAAAATATTTTTCAAATTTTTAAACTAAAGATGGTAAACATTTTTCCAACACTTTTCTAATTTGCATACTCTAAAAAACGAATATTTGGAGAGAGATATTTGTATGGGTTTATGTATCCGACAGCTCACTTGCGGATAGAGATGAACGAAAATTATAGCATGCGGACAAAAAACGTTAAGATTCGTATATGTAATTGCGAACAGATACAGTAAAAAATGGAGGCTTCTAAGATGCAGACAAAACCCATTAAGATTCTTATACAGAATTGTGGACAGATGCAGTTAAAATTGGCGGCTTATAAGATGCAAACAGAATCCATCAAAATTCTTACACGTAATTGCGGACAAATAGTTGCGTGCACAATGCAGACAGAAGTCGTTAGGATTGTAATATGTATTTGCAGAGAGATGCAGATAAAATTGAATTACCTACAAAATACCGACAAAAACGGATAAGATCCATCACTACAAATCCTGATTTTTCTAAGTTGCAGCGGTCTTGCAGTTAAAAACGAATAGATAGGCTACCAATTCAGTATTGCAGACAAAACAGTCAGAAACCGATAGAAATCCTATCCGTTTTTGTCTGCGTCAATCGGAAAGTTTTACCAGGGAAGTGAGCATCTTATGGACTGTGAAGGAGATGTAACACGGATTCAATACTATAAAGTACATGGTCGAAGCTCAGACTTTAGCATAATGGAAAATGCATAAAAGAATCAACCAATGAAAGTCTTCTAAAACAAAAAGTAAAGGATGAAAATAGGAGGCTGAGTTGGTTGATTCTTTTATGTCTTTTGCGTTGTACATTACGCAAAAGTCTGTGCTTCGGCTCATATCGTTTATCATACTTATGTATGAATATCTGAATCATATTTGTTTTACTTTGTACATAATGCACATCTTATATATATTTACATATATATTGTAATGACTTATACATAATTACATAGTAGACAGAATTTATATAAAAGTATACAAAAATCATTGTGAACATTAAATATATATATACAAGATGATTCAGAACAATCCGTTAAAAATATATATTCTTGACTAAATTTTAATACAACTTTTTATTGTAGGTGACAAGCAGAAAATTTCTACATATATATTGTAAACAGAATTCGAATAAAACGGTTTGTATCCCACTCCCTAGACAGGAGATAACGGCAGGTAGAGATAACCAGACAAAACAGGGAACAACAGAGTCTCGGTTAAGTCGTCTCGGCGTGTACATGTATCGAGTCTGACAAAATATACACATACTTAATCACTCAGCATTTTCAAAAGAAGAAAAGACTTATATTTATATCCGACCGTCTTATCGTCCCGTTTCCGCCTGTTTTATCCTACATTATTTGGAAAAATTTTGTCTGAAGTTTACTGTGTGAGTTATTAATAAAAATAAGTGACTTACCACGAGTCAGACACAAGAAATAGGCAGGAATAACATTTCACGCGGCCGATTATGTGTGGTGCCTGACACAATCAGCTGATCGCTAATACTGTTTCTGCATCTTTCTTTGTCTCTCTCTTTTTCTCTCTTTTTCTCTCACTTATTTATTTATCCTTCGTAATTTTTATCACTTAATCTGTGCATCACATAAATTACTGTGTCAATCACAGTGAATTGCGCCACTCTTGCCTATCTCTTATATCCGACTCGTAATAAATCTCAACAATTTTTATTAATAACTCAAAAAGTAAACTTTAGACAAAATTTTGCCAAATAAAATGTTGTCTTAAAATTTAGTCAAAAATATATATTTTCAAAAATATATGTTTTGTTTTGAATCACCCTGTATAATGTTCACAAGTGCATAGTAGATAATGGATAGTGCGCACTTAAATATAATCGTATATAGCAATCACTCCGTTTATATATAATTATACATATATATATATAATATATTTGCTCTATAATTCGTAATTATATATATAATAAGAAATATATAAGGCCTTACGAACCAGGATGTTTGAGCGGAAACTGTGCGTGTATATATATAAATACACATGTAACAAATTCAACTTGTAAATTTTTACAAGTGAGTGTTTTTTGAATTAAAATCTCAATTCTTTTTTCACAATATTTTAAAATTAGTTAGGGGGGTATCCGGGGCCTTTCATATGTGAGATGCAAATCCAGCATCCCGTCTGAATTTAAGAATTGAGATTTCAATTCAAAAAACACTCACTTGTAAAAATTTACAAGTTGAATTCGTTACATGTGTATTTATATATATACACGCACAGTTTCCGCTCAAACATCCTGCGAATGGCTCGTAAGGCCTTATATATATTTCTTGTTATTAATTTCAACGAGCCTTAAGTCGTAATTGTTATATATATATATATAATCCTGCGTACTTGTGCTGCATACTTGTATTCAAATGTGCATAACTATATATATAGTGTTGCGAGATGCGGCGCGTGTTGTCCACGCGGTATAAGAAGATGTTCGTCGAACGATCGATCGCTTTGGATGTTTTTGTTCGGGTAGCAACGGGGTTTGGTTACGGCAAGGTTCAAGAGCTTTAGAAAAAAGCTGGACTCGGAATCGACGAGAGGTTGGCTCGGGGTTTCCTCGCGTATTTACCGCGGCCTTTGTAACGCGTTCGTGAATAAAGCTCTTGTGTGATATACGCTGTGTTCCTTTCTTTCCGCGGAGCGCAGCAACACGGCGGTGACGCGTCAAAACGCGGTCGCGAGTGCAATAATATGTATACAACTATACATAATTTATTCAGTTCATACATATGAAAAAAGCTAGTTTTTAAATATCAAAACTGTTATCATTATGAAAACAATGCTATCAGAAAATTATCATTATTGTTGAAAACAATGCTTTATCATCGAATAAAGTTCACATCATTTTCTATGCGATCGAATTGTAGTTTAGCTCATTTACGTGGTAGGTGTACAGAAAGAACTAAGTGCTGAAGTTCTTTATTCTTCAACAATATAGATCAAAAGTAAAGTGATTTTGCAGTGACAAAGAAATTTGTGAGTTTTTCATTACTAATATTTCGCACTTTTCATTTATTATCTAATCGTGATTTATAGATTTTAATATTTTAGTTACTATGAGTGAAGACGCTAATACATTTATACCGGCCTTTTACTCTCATCGGAGTGTTTTTATTACTGGTGGCACAGGTTTCATTGGTAAAGCATTATGTGAAAAATTACTCAGATCTTGTCCGGACATTAAAGAAATATTTCTGTTGATACGGCCACAAAAGAATTTAACTATCAATGATAAGCTCAAGAAGATGTTAAATAACAAAATTTTTGACACATTACGAAGCGAACGGCCATCCAATCTCGATAAACTCATTCCTATAAGCGGAGACGTAACTGCTAAAGACTTGGGATTGTTGCCAAACGACAGACAATTGTTAATCGAAAAAGTATCGATAATTTTTCACATTGCGGCTATCGTTCGTTTTGATGAGAGTCTCAAAAATATAATTTTCAGCAACTTGCGAGCAACGCGCGACGTTTGTATTTTAGCCCAGTCTATGAAAAATATAGTAGTAAGTTTTTTTTTCTACATATTTGTTTGCAAGTAAATTTCTTTCTGTAGCTTCGCGTGCTCATTAGACAGAATTCTAACAATATCGTAATGTTTCGATTTACAAATTTATGAAAAAAGGCTTTACATCATGTGAGCTCGACGTACACACAAAGCGACAAACCCGTAGTGAACGAAGTCTTGTATCCCTTGAAAATCGACTGGAGGCAGACGATCAGGATCGCTGAGTCTGTTGACGAAGAAATTCTAAAAATATTCACAGCAAAGTAATTCTATATTAAATAATAGTTCTTGTCAATGAATGACCTCAGGTTCAGAGATAATAATCGAAGAATATGAAATAACAAGGCGTTACTGAACAAATTGCTGGGTGTTATGCAGATGTATTTGGATATGTATTTGGATATGTATGATGTATTTAGTCTAAACGACATCCTTGACTCAACAACACTGTTTTATCATTTTGACCAATATCAACATTCTATTTTATATTTATTGATAATGTCGTTATTTTAAATGTGAGAAGGTTTTTTTTTTGTAATAGAGTACACTGAAGAAGACTTTAAACAAAAGTCGAAACGTTTGTAAATTTTATTATCCAAATACATCTGCATAACACCCAGCAATTTGTTCAGTAACGCCTTGTTATTTCATATTCTTCGATAATTCTATATTATTACAAACGCGCATATATATAAAATATATACGTTGTGTATATACTACTATTGTAATATTATTTATATATGTTACTATTGTAACATTTTAAAATATTGGTTAGGTATATTTGTTGATTGCAGATATATAGGAACGTTTGCAAACACGTACATTTTTACAAAAAGATTGGCCGAGCAAATAATAAGTGACTTTTCGGAATCACTGCCTTGCATTATCTTTAGACCGTCTATAGTTATATCAACAATGGGGGATCCTGTACCAGGTTGGACTGACAATTTCAATGGTCCAAATGGCTTGAATGTTGGCACTGGTATTGGGATATTACGCGTACTTTCTTTAGATTCTAATATAAATTGCGATTTTATCCCGATAGATTTAGTAATCAGAGCAATGTTAATCGTATCTTGGAAACGCGGAATACAAAGGTATGTAATCAAGTCGTTCTTTAGTACTTGAAACATTTTTTCAATTACTGGCGAAAGTGCGTTAAACTTCATAAAATTTTCTATAAACAGTATTTCTGAGGACAATAGCCTTCACATTTATAACAGCTCTTTGTGCAACATAAAAAGCATAAGTCTCGGCGAAATGATAAGAACTGGAGTACGTGTCTTCTATGATATTCCTATAGAACGCATGATTTGGAAACCCAGTGTGATTATGACAAAAAGTCGTTTGCTATATTACATATTGGTGATAATATTACATATTGTGCCTGCATTATTCATAGATAGAATATTAAAACTATTTGGTGCAAATCCGATGTAAGTTTTATATATAAAACTTTATATTTACACGCCATATTTTCGAAAATATGCGATACCGAATTTTTTCTTAAATTAAGTCCTTAAGTCTTAATTGTTTAAGATTTTCTGTATAAACGTAACACCTTACTTAATTCATTTAGGCTACTACAATTGCAACGAAAAGTATATGTAGCAAACCATGCTCTGTCGTTCTTTATAAGTAATTTTTTGCAATTTAATAATACAAATTTGATAAGTGTATTTGAAAATCTGAGCGCTGATAATAAAAAGGAATTTGATTACAAAGAACTAATAAAGATTAACGTGGAAGAATATATCAGGTACGTATAAAAGCTCACGGTATGCACCAAGTACACAGTTTGTCCGGAAAGTTCCCGGACTACGTGAATTAAAAATCGAAAATGAAAGATATGGTTTATTAAACAAGTTTACACTTCAAGGTA